AACTGAGCTTTCCTGCCTTTGAGCTGCATGGACCTTAGAATCAACTGGCAGGGGTGTTGGTGGAGGAGGTTAGGGGTTACGTGGGAGGCAGGAGATGCCTCTGGCCCGCAGATAGGCCCACAGCCTCTGGCAGAGGAGCTGACACCTGGCACACTGACTTGGGCAGCACAGACACCTCAGCCAGGTTTCCTCAGAGGAGTTGGTGTGAGCCCCCGGGCCAGGATCCTGGGATGCACCTGGGGAAAAGGCAGCTTGTGAAACTGAGGCCTGATTTCCTCAGCTCTGCCGATACTTATTTACTGTGATCCGTTCTCCCTCTCCCCTTCTCTTCCTCCCACCCCCAGGCCCCCTCTCTCCCCGCACATTGACGTGTAACACAGAAAACTGCACGTACCTTAAGTGGCTAGACAACTGCCACAAAACCCACAGCTCTGTAGCCAGGACTCAGAAGCCTCCCTTGGTGCTCCCTTCTGGTCACCCCTCCTCACCCAGCTGTAACCAGGGTCCTGAACCCCTGTGCTGACTCCCAGCCGCGTTAACGCTGGTCCCTGGGTTTGCGTATAGGTGGCTGCTGCCCTCTGCTGGCTGCCTGTGGGAGCTGCACTTTGGGAGGAAAAGAGCCTGCAGGCGGGCCAGAGCTGGTTTTCTGTCTGCTGTTGGGGCAAATTACCACAAACTTAGTGGCTTCAAACAACACATTTATTAACTTCTAGTTCCGTAGGTGAGACGTCTGACTCAAGTCTCACTGGGCTAAAACCAAGGTGTCGGCAGGGCCAGACCCACCCCACAATCTTCAAGCCCGTGTTGGCGGGGGTCCTTCTCACACTGCCATCTCTCTACTTAGATGGCATCACAGGACACAGTCGACAGAGTTCAATGGCAATTCACCAAATGGGAGGCAATGTTTGCACATCATATATCTGACGTGGGACTCATATCTGGAACATATGATTCTCTCTCTTCACTGATGTTTCTATCTCTCTCTCCCTCTCGCTTTCTCTCTGAAATCAATTTAAAAAAATGCATTTTTTAAAAATTTACCATCACAAGCACCACCTATCTGCAGAATGCTCCCAAATTCACATCACTGCCCAGATCTCTGTCCCAAACCTTCTTCCTCTACATCCCACTGCCCAGTCGACATGTCTAATAGGTCCTCCCCCAAACCCACCCACCCCCACCTTCCCCAGGTGAGTCAATGCACAAGCACCCTCAGTTCCTCTTGTTTGTGTGCACCCCAAATCTGAAGAGGGCCTCACCCCTCACCCCTGCACGGCACTCAGTCCAGGGGCTCCCCTCCCTCGTCGGGATTAGTGCAGAGTCCCATGGCTTCTACTCAGAACAATTCCTTAAAAATATTACGCAGATAGAATCAGGGACATAGAAAGGGAATGGACTATTCTTGGGGGGGGGGGGTAAGGGGTGTGGGGTGAGGGAAGAGATTGGACAATAATCGTGCACCTATGGATGAGGACAGTAGGTGGGGAGTAAGGGCGGAGGGTGGGGTGGGAACTGGGTGGAGAGGAGTTATGGTGGGAAAACAGAGTAACTAATGTAATAATCTGAACAATAAAGATTTAATTTAAAAAAATATGTATTACAGAGAGCCCGGCTGGCGTGGCTCGGTGGGTTAAAGAATTATCCCTCTATGCCAAGGTAGTGAGTTCGATCCCCGGTCAGGGCACATACAGGAGTCAACCAATAAATACATAAATGAGTAAAACAGCAAATCAACATCTCTCTCCCTCTTTCTCCCTCTCTAAAATCAATAAATTAAAAAGTTTTTAAATATATTACTCAGTTCATAGCAGCATTATTCATAATAGCCAAAAGGTGGAAACAACTGGAATGTCCATCAACTGATGACTGGTGAACAAATGTGGTCCATCCATGCATGGAAGACTTCTGCCCCATAAAAAGGAACCCACACTGACACCTGCTACGTCGTGGATGAACCTGGAAGACGTTCTGCTCAATGAAAAGGAAGCAGGCTCCACAGGCCAGGCGGTGTATGGTTCCAGTTGTACGAAATGCCCAGAATAGTCAAATCCAGAGACAGAAAGTAAATTAGCAGGTGCCAGGGGCTGGGGGAGGAGGAGGGAGGGAAGGGGCCGCTAATGGGAGGCAGGGTCCTACTTGGGGTGATGAAAATGTTCTAAAATTAGCTAATGGAAAGGGTCGGACAACCTTATGAATAGACTAAAAACCAGTGGATTGTACACCTTAAAAGGGTAAGTGATATGGTATGTGAGTTATCGCACATCATATATATATATTAATGTAACTCAAATGTCTTTGCTTCTCACACTCTGCAGGGGCTCCATCTCAGCAGAAAAGCCAATCCTTACGGGGCC